TTCTCCCAAGCGGGATGTCGAAGGTCAACGGCACTTCATCCATGTTGGCGATGTGGCTTGCCCTGGCGTCGTGCTTCTTTACTTCCTCCCGCACGAATGGGCTGAAGCGCTTCAGCTGCGCCTAAAAGTCGTCGGAAAGCTTCTGACATAGTGCGGGCTCTCCTGACAAAGCTGATTTTGCTGCATAAAGCGGAAACACCACGACAGACCACCATTGAACTCAACAGCGTTAGTCTTTAGTGCCAGAGCCTTTGCCTTCAGGCGCAGCGGCACTGTTGACAGGCCTCTTTCTTTGGCTCGCTGTTAGACTCTACCTACTGCATTCTTTGTCGAATTCATTGTCTGAAGAATGCTGTGAGCTTTTCGCCAGTCCCGGATCATTTTTTTTTTTTTTTTTGGCGACATTGAATTTCCTACCTGCAGCCCGATTTCGTGTTATTCGACAAATTCAATTGCGCGCAGCTTGAACTTGCCATTATACTTTGCCGACTTCGCTTTCCGTGTGGCGCCATGATGTTGTCAGATTAGCGAGGCTGCGGAACCTACGCCACTATGCTACGACACTGTAAAGATGCACAACACACGCGACGCCCAGCAGCCAAGAGTGCTATGGCGGACAGAAGTGACGGAAAAAAAAGCCGCTTTGAAGTCCAAACCTTTCATAATTTATAAATTGAGAAATATCCGCGCATTTTCACCTTTTTTTTTACTTTTTTATTTTCTGTGCTAAACTACATCAGCTGTTATTTCTAGAGACTTACCATACTTTTTTGCGTAACCCTCGCACTCGAAAATTGCAAAAGAAATATCCGGTTTTTCAAGCAACTGATGATGATAACACACAAAAGCCTAGCGCCATGTCTTAAAGGGACACTAAAGTCAATCAAGAATTTACGTCAGAGTGAAAGCTCAATGTATGACAACATCTAAAATGACAATATTATCAACAACCGTGCCCTACTTACCGAGAAATTAAAGTAATATGATCGCGATAACATCAGACAGCCGCTTACAATTAATTTTGGTAATCGATCTAACTGTACTAAATAAAGAACATTCCGTGAATTAAGAGACGCAATAAAATGTTGCTTTTTCGTTTCTGTTTGATTCATAGAAAAAAGAATCGCTGGAAGTTACTATTGGGAATGGTGCGAGTGGTACAAAAGTTCAATGTTCGCGTGGTTACACGGGACAGGTGGTGCCATCTAGAGGGGCGCAGTTGAAACAAAAGTGCCTGCAATCTCGAAGTCAATGGCAAGAAATTGATCAATGGCGGTTGTTGCTGCTGCGGCTCCGGCTGCTTTCAGTCTGCTGCTACTAGCGCAGTAAATCCGGGCAATGTTGTGCATGGCAACAGTGACGTGAGACAGTGCAGTCGGTCTGCTTCTTGAGGAGAGTAATTTGAAGTGCGCTAGCCCGATGCGGAACACTAAAACGCGATTTTATTTCAAAATAGGCCTTTCCTTGGCACAAAAGTAACACTACGAGGTTTCTGGACCACCATTTCAACATGGACCGCCATTTCAACAATCAACATCGACTTAATAGTTGACTTTAGTGTACCTTTAAGAATGATGCATACTATCAATGCACAAGCGTGGCCTCCGAAGTAGCAGCGCGCCATAGATCTTAGAGTTTAAGGAACGAGCCTCGGTCCAAGTTAAGCCAAGCCATAGAGGCAAGTACATGTTGCTGTGTGTATTGTACGTTGTGTCTGTTCTGTAAATACGCAATGGGGCGACACGATAGTTACCCAGCTGCTTTTAAGTTGAAGGTGATTAATCATGCAATAAACAACGGCAACAGGGCCGCCTTTGTAAGCACCTCGGAGTCAACGAGCTTCGTGTTCACTAATGCCGATGACAGCATGAGCAGCTGAAAGCCAACAAGGCATGCTGGGCCTTTCACATGCCTAAGACTGGGATGGATGGTAAAACTTCATTTCGTCAGAAGGCAACTGCGGACTATCTCGTGTTAGATAGCCATCAACCCAAGGTTGACGTTGCGCGCTAACCTTTCGCAAGCTCTAGTTGAGTGATGAATGCTAACACTATATGGCCGTAACGCCCGCATGCTTTGCATGCTGTATTTCTCTACTATTTGTTTGCAGCTTTCGTGTCTCAAATAAATCTTGCCTTGTGTTAAACCTGTGGTTTTATTATTATGGTAAGTCTTAAGTAGTACTTCTTAAAGCTTTTAGTTTTTAGCAGGCGTTAAAATCCTGGTTTGCGACCACTTCGTTTTCTTATATTCACTCTGTTTGTTTAACGCGAAAAACTTTTCTCACACAATTCTCGGACACCCACACTTTTCATCACTTTTTCATGAAAAAAAAAAAAGAGTGAGGTTTATGCGAGTAAATATGGTAATTTACCGCTATTATTATTTTCTTGTAAAATCCGGTTTCTGTGCACGGCAAAAGGGGCACACGGCAATATCCAGGCTGCCGAAACCACAGCGTCAAACCCGATTTTGACTGTATAGAAGTCGCACAGTTCTACAAGCCACACTAAAAAAAAAACTCAGAAAAAAAAAAGCGACTTATACACCAAAAATGCGGTACATCTATTCGTTGCTTATTTCATCGTCAGCTTTTTCACCTTTTAAAAATAATGCTGTGCAATATGTACGGTTATGACCAAGTAGCTCAAATCAATGCTGAGATACATGGGACATAGAACCAGAAACGATGCTAAGGCAAGTCTCAAGACGAGTCGAAATCGTGCCATGCATAAGTTAGTTAGAGATACACAATGATGCCACCGAGGTCTTCCGATTCGGAGCAATTTTTGGAGAAGAAAAATTTTAATTTTGGAGCACTTTGAAACAACAAAATTTTTATTTGGAGCACTTTAAAGAAGTAAAATTTTGTATTTTGAAGCACTTAACTTTTTCGTTATCGCACTAGAATGATTGTTTTTCAGATGTCTCGGAAAGATAATTTTTTCCAGTATGAAAAGTACTCCAGCATGCATTGCAGCGTACCAAACTTTGCAGAATGAAATGCTCTTTCCAAAAAAATATAGGTAGTAGAGCAACAAAAATATTTTAGTATAAATAAAAATGTGAAGAGTGTGAAATTTTTCAAAACCAGCTCGTAAACAGTGGAATAAAAACACTATATATGAAAAAATATTCAAAATAAAGAAAATTCAGACTACACATTTTGTAGATAAATGCCCCGGGAACAGTATAAAAATAATTGATGTTGTACAAAATGTTTCTCTTCACATAGATAAAAAAAATCAGAACTGAGGTGCTGCTTCATTGCTCATGCCATGCGGTGAAACATTCCGTGATTTTTCGCGAGACACAAGTGTACTCGTACACTCTTCTCAGTAAATTTTCGTTGCCTTGTGATAAGAGTCAATAGGTATTCCAATACAGGTGGATGCCCATGATGTGAACAATCCCTCTATAAATGAGATGTCCAATGAACTTCACTCGCCTTTCCGCAGCTCGTCTTTTTCCGCTCGTAGCCAGGACGAGTAAGAAAATAGAACAGGCAGTCTTTTCGGCAACCTTTGCCGTTGAGTAAAAAAAACAAAACAAAAGAACAAAATGTTGGAGGAAAACCGTAAGAATATGGGGGAGGAGCGCTCGATAAGAGGATGGGGATAAAAGAGACAAGGAGAGGAGAAAACGTTTGGATTATAAAAAGAGAGAAAAGTAAAAAAAAGTTAGACTTGCAAAAGGGAGAAGCACTGGTTAATTGTGACGAGTGGCTTAAGAAAGCTCTGCCATTAGCTATGCTTCTTCAGGGAGAGGGGAAAGGGGAAGCATAAAGGAAAGATACAGAAAGTGTGTGGTGAGGTGTGGGCATAAGCATATGCGCAGTTTCCCTTCCTGGTACAGGTGGGGGAGAGTGCAAGTCCGTTGCAGCGTCCCCACCCCTTTCCCTGTCCGCACGAGTCACCGCACCACTCCCTATTATGTAAATGTAAAGAGCTGACTATGCCCCCCCCCCCCCCCCGCAAAGATTAACAGTCGCACCCCTACCGTTCGCATGCCTAATGGAACAGCCATAAAGAGGGCCGCGTGTTCCTCCGTGAGTGCATCCATTTGCAAACACGCGCTCGCACAGCCATGTCACGTCAAGCAAGCGCTCTTGTCGGAGGCATTGGCTCCATCTCTACGGTCCTTTTTTTTTTTTTTTTCTTCTCTCACGCGTGTGCTGCGGCACCACCCGCGTTTTCTGGAATGCTGGCACATTCAACAGCCAACGAAAGCATCAACCATACCACGGGGTCACTGGCCTCCCTCTACTACAATGAAGTTCTCTGTCTCTTTTTTTCTTCGTTAATGCGCGTGACCTTCAAAGCTGCACAGCTATGGACGATTTTGCTGCTCGGCAGGCCGCATATTCTAGCGCTATCTTCGCATCTCAAAAATGTATATTGAACACAGTTGAACCTGGCTACCATCGTTAAAAAAAAAAGAATCCTTCTTACTACGTGACCAGACAACTTTGCTCAAGTGGTCAAACAAAACACTGGACGCATGGGGCAAAACTAGATTTCGGGAGATTTTCTTATGACCCGTACAACCGGGAGAAACGTTCAAAATCCGGGAGTCTCCCGGATTACTTGGCAGGTATGAGTACAGCACCTCACTTACGTAAGTGAGGTGCCGTATGTGGACGCTGATGACTCGTCGCACGTTGAATGCCGAATCGCACCATGTGTCCAACGCTTAATGCAAACTGCAGTATAGCACATACAGCAACCATAGTTCAAATATTCATGAGATTTTACAGTAGCACAAAAAGTATGCCTATGCTCTGCTTTCCGGCTGTCTTACTGCATCATTTAAACAATGTTTACCGCAACCGCAAAGAGCCATACCAACTGCACAGTCCTTGTAACAAAAGAAAACAGCAGAAACGACATATCGAATGGACAAAACTATGAACATACTTGATCCATACCAACTGTACAGTCCTTGTAAAAAAAAAAAAACAGCAGAAACGGCATATCCAATGGACAAAACTATGAACATACTTATTTAGGAGTGGGTGTTGAACCTGTCGAGGGTAGAGGAGGCGCCGAAGGTCCATACCACTGCTTCTTGACCCAACACGAACACACGCACACCAGAGAGAGAAAGAGAAAGGGACGAAGCACAGAGACAAGAGAGAATTACTTTCCATCCTTCACAGGCAGCGCATTGAGTAATACAAGAGTTCAATTCAACCAATACAATAAAACGTCCAGTGAATCCTTCTGAAGACCTGTCCCAAACATTTACAAATACTCCTGTCCTATGCCAGGATCCCATAAATTTCAGAACTCTAATGCTTTAGATGGCATCTCCACTCCTTTGGTAAGCACTGTTGATAAAAGAAACTGCAAGTTATCTGTTATGCATATTTTACGTCAGTCTCAGTATGCACAGACCACTAGTGCAACACCTCAGCCAGTACTTTCATACAGAAGGGTTCTCATGAGGGCTAATTGGTTCATCAACATTATAGCAGAAGAGAGACACATGCTGTCTCGTTTGTTTCCTTGTCATATGTGTTCTTCCATATTGTTATACACATACTTTCAAAAACCACTCAGTGCACCGTTTTAAGCTTGTAAACCATATATTTTTTTTTTTGCATCCTCAGTAGTTTTATTCACGTAATGAACGCACTCGCATAATAAACGCAACCCCAAATTTAGTTGTCGAAATTCAGAATTTTTTTTCATCTTCTGCAGTCCCACTGACACATGGCACCTCCTTGCCTGTTCGATCTCTTCCATTTTCATTATTATGCCGACCTCCTTCGGCCACCTCGGCTCGCTCACACATGTTCGCCCACTGTTTTGCGCCGTACTGTTTTACTTTCTATTTGTGCGCGGCACGCCCCCAATCGTATTATCTATGTGCCACAGCAGGCTTCACGAACAGTGCGAGTGTAGGGAGATCACAGCTGATGAGCACACAGCGAGCGAAGGTCACCAAAGTGCTCGCGCCAACTGATGGTCACTTCCTACAAATAAAAAATTTTAAGGCCCAACTACATGCATGCAATTTTCGAGCAACAACGACAGCATTTGCTGTCACCATGGCTGTCGTGAAGGGCCGTTATTCAACATCGCGTCACTGATTTCTGAGAAACCAGAAGAAAGTCGCTTGTCGCCCAGAAATAATCGTGATGAATTCCGTAACATAGTAGCACACCTCGTTTCTCACTTCGATTGCGATTTGCTCTTCATGCTTGTTATCTACGCGTAGTTCAAGGAAAGCAAGACATAGGCTACCTTTTCTACAGTAACTTCTCATGTGGACAGCGAAGCGGCGGCAGTTTTTTGTCGCTAATCTTGTTATCGACTGTTCGTTTCCAAGCTTCAGTGGTAGCTTGCTGCAATGTTGGTTACTTGCTGCAATGCCAACAGCGTCGTCACGGTAGTTGTGCGAGATTGCCACGAAGTTGGCAAAGTGCATCGTAGCACACGCTTCTGGGCACCCCTCAAGATCACAGCAGATACCAATAATGTGGTTAATCAATTGCAAGAAAAGGTAGCTGCGAAACGTTTTTATGGCATGCACGGTTGGCATGGGGGCAGCTTGCAGAAGGTAGCGCTATTAACCACTGAAGATGAGTAAAGTGCAACAAAGAAGCTGTTCCTAAACACTGTATGCATATGTCAATTGCAATTGGATGAGCACCGTAACTTTTTTTGGCATTATCGCATTTTTGCTTATCCCAAAAAAAGTTTTCATAAAATTTGCCCCACATAATAAATGCACCCCCAACTTTGTTATGATTTTTTTAGAAAAAAGGGTGCGTTCATTACATGAGTAAATATGGTATTTGACTTATTGAGGCAACAATTGACACCAGTATGGCACAACAGCAAGCATGGGCATTATGCTAATTTTGTCTCGAGGCAGAGGGAATGCACACCCGTATTGCCTGGTAGCTTGGAGAGGGTTGGGGGGAGCACTAGTGTAGCTTGGGTGAGGGAAGTGCTCCTTTTGAACCCCCCCAAGCCAATGCCCATGGCAGCAACCACTTTAGCCTAATGGCTATCTGCATATATCTACAGTGGAACTTTGAATATAAGGCTTTCAGGAGACCCCATAAAACTGTCTTATAATAGAAAAACTAGTATTATAGGCAGTGACACTAAGCCTTGCCCGAAAAATGAGTACAGACCACTTGAATAAGGCCACAGCATGACCTTGTGCCTCTGCAAGGAAGGTATATTAAATTATTCTTGCCGGCGGCAGCTACTGGTAGCATTAGTTAATTGGAGGAGGTGCTAGTGAATCTTTATTCTCAACAAAAAAAAAATCGCAGCATAATCACGAAGTGAATTATTATGAATGTGGCGAAGCGTCCGTCAGTCCGTCCATGCATCCGTCCATCCACGCGTCCTTCTGTCCATCCGTCCGTCCCTCGATTTATTCGTGTGTCTGTGTGTCTTTCCATCTGTGCATCCGTCGATGCGCCTGTCTGTCTTTCAGTCCGGCCATCTGTTTGTCTGTCTGTCCATCTAGTGAACACTCCAAGTACCGCCATCCCGTACCTTGTATCTTTTCGTCATATATTCATCATATACATGTACTGGCATCCAGATAATGTTCCAAGGACGAAAGGAGAGGTGGCTACTTACTACTACTACATACGTCGGGGACACATGACCCACGCCTTAAGAAGCTTCGCCCCTAAAATCGAATCCATCGCACATCTTCCTAAAATAAACAGAGTCTGAAAATTTCCTGCGTGTGTAAACGAAACCAAAAGCCTCCTGTCAGAAGAGTCAGACACAGTGTCATCGCCATCACAAGATGGCGACGGACTACAAGTTTGCATAGAATGCCTTCGTGCACCACTGAGCTGCATATCTTCAATGCTGCATTTTTTTTAACAGTCAGCTAAATTATAAAATAGCCTCACTATTTCGATATGGACACTCCCAACAGGTGTTTGCCGTTGCCGTCAGATCCCATATAAATTCCGAATTGAGAACATGGTGCCGCGCATCGTATGTTCTATATGCGAGTAAAAGTGTGCGAGCGGGGTGACGAACTCGGCTGAAATAGAGGTCAAACGACCCGGCTTATCTCCACCACTCAAAGGGCGCATGCGATAGCATCATTCGATACACCGCCCGGGAGACCTGTAGTCGAAGCAGAGAGGAAGCACTCCGTCTACCTTGGATGAGCATTAAAAAAACAATGAGCGAGAGGGGGGCAAGTGTTGCTCGAGCAGCAACTATGAACTTTGCTTCTAAGGGCATGGTTGCAATCACTGGTGCGCGCGCTAGCTCGGCAGCCATCAGCGGGCGACTCGCATACACTTCTACGTGCTGCATTCTCATCATGAAGAGAATGTTCAAGGGGTGTTGCTCTTCTTGACGTGGTCGTATTCTCATACACCAGTGTTTTGTACACCAGCATTACGCGAGAACGAATCTAAATAAGTTAGCTGCCAGTCTCCTTTCGATAGCCTTACAATTGGCTGCTATCGCATCCATTGTTCCACACTTACGGTGCATTGTGACTCTGCGGTGCAATAGCGCCATGTTTATTTTCTTGTTTTTTACCTGAGCTCGCATTCGTCAGCCGCCGAGTTGATAAGCGCGAAACACAGTGGCCAAATGAACGAGAATATGCGCATATGCTTGATGAACAGTCATGTGCACGGTGCACCCACATGCACCTGCCCTTCCTAGGCTGTTCCAGCAAACAGGCACTACCCCTCCTTCTATTGAGCGCCGTTACTGCCAATTTCTTAATTTTTTTTCAAATGCTACCATCATGTTATAAACAAACAATTTCATTGGAATAGTGAAGCAACGAATCCAATTGCAAAAAATTGTAAGAGTGGCAGCCAACTACTCTCTTAGATCTGATATCGTGCAACTGCAGAACCAGCTGAGATGCTTTTCTTGCCGTCCCTTTGCGCTGAGAGCGCAGCACGTGGAAGGGTTCACGGGCGATTCGCGCTGATGCCTGCCGTGATTTCACCCGCATAAGGATCGCGACCACCCCCTTATGATCAAAGCTCACAGTGTGGGGATACTGACACTCCTCTGTAGAGTTGTTTGCGCCACGTGGCGCACGTGTCTCGCGCAGAAGCCGTATTTCGGGGTTACGGCTATTGAGCGATAAGTGGCGTGTACACGAGCGGTGATCACCGCTATCATCATCACCACGGTTGTTAGAGCGGTAGTGCGGCAGTGACCCATGGCAGCACGCAAGCCTTGGTGGCGGCGCGCAAGTAATAAGCAGCTCTCTTCCGAGTGGGGTGATTGCCGCTAACGGTTGTCTTTAGCGTGGGTCCCCGATGTGTGGCACCGCGGGTTGCGCGTCTGAGGCCCTCATGGCAAGTCAAGCGTTGGGACCGCCGCCTTGTGCGGGTTATTGTGTTTGTCATGTTTTGGAGTGTATGGCAATATTGTATAAAGATGACCTAGCGTGTTGATCACGATTTATGTTATAACAATTCGACGGACAATATCGTCATTCAAAATTAGTTGAATAAATGTGTGTATTGTTTGGTTTGTTTTGACGGCGTCTGCTGTGTCCGTTCACTCCAGGAGCGTGGCGATCACTCGCTAGTTCAAGACTACAACGGCTGGTTTTGGAACGATCACTGCCTTTACGAAACCGAAACTATAACCATTTCAATCAAAGTATTAACAGAAAGGCTGTAAGGTTTATTTTTGGCAAATATCGTAGGTTTGATTCCCCGACCACCTTAATGCAATTAAACGACATTTCTACTTTAGAAGCTCGGAGAAAGTTCAGTCGTCTTTTCTTTCTTTACAATTGTTTGTGTGGTATTGTAAAAATTGATCTCCCCGACTGTGTTAAACCTCTCTCAGTTCGACGTACTCGTCATGGTCATGAACATGCTCTAACCCCAATTTTTGCCCGATCAAATGCTTTTAAATATAGTTTTTTTCCTAAAACTGTCGATGACTGGAATTGTTTGCCGTGTGACATCTTTCATTCTAATAATTTTCTTGGTGACCTTGAGCGCCACCTTCTTTCTTAAACCTTTTGTTTCTTTTGTATTGTCTGTTGTTTTCTTCAATTACGTTTTGATGTATCCGCTCCTGCTTGGGCCAGCACATTGGCCTGCAGTATTGTGAAATAAATAAATAAATAAATAAAACCAAAAAGACATTGTTTCAGCCACCTTTCCAGGTATGGTGCTTGATGGCTTTGGCATTTTGCAGCTGAATCCTGGTGCTGCAGTGCAGTACGGCGCTGATGCGAGTCTGGCGCAGCAGGAGTTGTTTGACACAGGATGGCGCAGTTAAGAGTTAGTCATTGAGTGGCACAAATGGCGCAGCTGTTCCTACCCTGCTTGTCAAGTGCAACTAGTGATGTTCCACTGTTGCTATAAACGTTTATGTCAAGTGAAAAGTAATATTGCACAGTGAGAACTGCGTCGCACCCTTATGTGTGCGAAAGCCTGCGACTGCGACAAAGGCAAGAAAATAGCTGTATGTCGACCAGGAAAAGTTTCTGTGGAGTGAACACGTAAAAGTGTCAGCTTTTTGGCTGGCTGAAGCTACTATGTGAATAGAACTTGACTAGGTAATGACCCCGGATAGGTACACACGCAATCAAGGCGTGCGTAGAAGCACACTTCCATGAGAATAAATTTTTTATGCCAAAAAGAAATGAAGAAATCCGGTCTCACTCTCAACTTGTCTAATCGTCAACCTAGGGGAACGTAACTTCAAATTTTACACTTGTGAATATTAGGTCAAGTTTGATTCGAGCAAATCTGAATTTCTCTTAAGGGGAGATGCGCGTCGAAAAATTGCGTTTATCGCGGAATTTTTCAGTTTTGAGATTTTACCTGTAAAATTATCTTTGTTTATTCAGCTACAACTCCGCAAAAGATCAAGGCAAAATTCGAACGAGAAGTTAGTAAAAATTCTATTTTATTCAGCCACGGTGGCTCGAGAAAGTGCTAGTTTCGTCGTGAATCAGCAACTGTCGATCGTCTCCATCTCGAGAATGCGGCGTCTCCCGCCATTGCTGTTTGCTTGGAGAGGTTGAGTAAGCCTTCGTTTAGCCTACAGCACCTCCCTCAGTTTCGCATTTTGGCCCAAAATAATAAAAAAAGGCATGTTTTGGCGCCTGTTCAAGCGTTTCTACTGGACATTTAAATCACGTGGTGCTCTAGCGAGGCCGCCATTGGCCTACACGGAGACGTTGCTGCGGCGAAGCACCGAAGCCTGCATCCATCCTCGACTGTGTACGGTGACTCGATCGAACTCTGTGGCCCTTTTCCTGCGATTTTTCAGTTATTTCGTAATTAACGAACCGAAAAAGCGCGATTTCCGAGCTCGGAAGGCTCGGGCGAAGATCCCGCACCGAGTGCGGCGTCGCAAACCTCTACGGAAAGTGACAGCGGGAAGCAGCCGCCCGACGCCTCCGGCTAGCCCTAACCAGCACAACGGCCACTCGGACGAAATCGACGCCGCGCTGAACTTTGTGAGCGCTTCGGGGGTGAAGATTGGACTCTTCGAGAACGATAGAGCAGCAAGCGATCGAAACTCTGCGAGTGCTGTGATATGCGATATCAGTGCGCTTACGGTGCTGATAAGTGGAGCTGCTTGCCCTGTGTGCCACACCTGTACCCTCGCGGTACGTGAACCGGTTGAAAAACGGAAGGGTCTCTCGGCGTTTCTGGAGTTGCATTGTGCGAACAGTGAGTGCCCTGAATCGGTACTTTCTTCTGTGCACACCTCGAGCCGTGTTGTGCTTGGTGAGCTTGCGAACGGTGCTAGCGGAAGCCGGGAATATCGGAGTGGGAGCTCCCGCGACAGCTTCGCCGTGAACGTCAAGGCAGTGGTAGCTGCGCGCGCGATTGGCATCGGGCACGAACAGCTTTCACGTTTTTGCGCCATTCTTGGCATGCCGACGCCGTTACATCACAAGAACTTTATTGCGATCGGCAAGAAAGTTCATGCTGCGGCCATGAAAGCCGTGGAGGAAAACATGGAGAAAGCGAGAGTTCACACGAAAGAGATGGTCGGCAGCAGTGATGTTGCCGTGATGTTTGATGGTACGTGGCAAAAGCGGGGCCACAAGAGCCATAACGGCGTTGGCACAGCTGTGTCTGTAGACACTGGCTTGTGCCTCGATTTTGAGGTTCTCTCAAACTTCTGCCTTGCGTGCAGCCGGCACAAAGACATCGGGAGCGAAGAGCAAGTGTGGCAGGCGTACCATAACCCAGTTTGTGAGAAGAACGTTGACTGCTCCTCTCATGCTATGGAAACTGAGGCAGCAGTGCGCATATGGACGCGGACTCCCTCATATGAGACACCGTTGCACTTCACCACGTTTTTGAGTGATGGGGACAGTAAAGCCTTCAATGCTGTCTTTGAGGCCAAAGTGTACGGTGAAACATCCATCGTGAAGGAAGATTGCACCAACCACGTGGCCAAGCGCCTGGGCACTTCAATTCGCAAGCTCAAGACTCCTCTTCCACGTGGCGAGAAGTTGAAGGACGGGCAAATACAGAAGTTGCAAAACTACTACCGCATAGCCATCACCAGCAACAGGGGCAATGTCCGGGAAATGTATCGTGCCGTTTGGGCGTCACTTTTTCATTCGAGTTTGACGAATGCTGCCAAGAGCCATAAATTCTGCCTCGAAGGAGTTGAATCATGGTGCAAGCACCAGCGGGCGGAAGCACTTGGAGAACCCGCGCCAGGCCACACTCCGCTTCTGACAAAGGCACAGGGGGAGGCTCTGCTGCCTATTTACAGGCGTCTCACGGAGAAGAAGCTTCTCACCCGCTGCTTACAAGGGAAGACTCAAAATGCAGCAGAGTCCCTCAACAGCAAGATCTGGTTACTATGCCCGAAGACGAAGTTTGTGTCCAAGACAGTAGTGGAAACTGCAACTGCCATCGCCGTTTTGTGGTATAACTGCAGTCATGGCAGCTTTGAGCAAGTGCTTCAGGAGCTTGGTATTCTGCTACCAGAAGAGCTTGTTGTCCTGGGAAGCTCCCGTGACCAGAGGAGAATGAAGAAAATGTCCGTCCGCCAAACCGCTAAAGCTCGAGCCCATCGCCGAAACCAGGTGAAGAGAGCACGTCTCACGGACTCCATTCGAGAGGGTGCTGAGGGGCAAACCTATGGGCCAGGGGAGTTCTGAACAGCTGTGCTGTGTTTGAAACATATTGCTCTATTTTTGCAAGAAATTTCATGTGCTTTCGTCATGTTTTTGAAAAATACAGATGTTTAAAACTTTCAAAAGCATTTTTCTCCATTTCTACTTTTCAGCATTTTTTACGTTTTGTGCATCACTTTTCAGGTACTTCAAATGGTCAGATCTGGATGAAATTTTGCACACAGCCTCTTCAAAGTGTGTAGAATGTCGATATCTATATGCATTTCAAATATCTCTTATACATTTTTTGAAAACAATTAAAATGTTGACTCACAGCACACAAAGTATGTACTTTTGGTATTCCTCATTTTTTTTTAGAAATATAGAAATTATTTGAATAAATTTTAAGTAGTATCTAACATACTACTTTACCTAACCAGCAAAATGAGCTATTGCAGGCTTCTCTAAACAAAAATTTATTATTAAAAAAGATGTGCACAAAAAGCCCTATATTTTTCTCTTGAGAGGTGTCTCGCACAAAAACTAATAAAGCTACATAAGAACTAAGCACATATTTGGAATCAGCGTTACAAACTCAGTCTATGACCAAAGTTTCATAACTTTAGGTATAATATTAAAGAAAAAGTGTTTTCGAGGAGCATCTCCCCTTAAGGATGAAATTTGAAAGTTGTCGGAAGATGCAGGGTCGGCATAAAACTGCGTTGTATAAGGAAGGTTTTTAATACATTATTTCTGTAAGGATTTCGCTGGGATGAAACTGATTCATTGCAAAATGCAGGTCGTCGCGAAACCTGGGGATGTACAATCGAAGTTTCACTGTATATATCAAGTAATGTTTTAATTATAAAAAGTGACAGCATTTGCCGCCAAGGCGAAGCAATGAACGCAATAGCAACAAATTTGAAAGTCACGTGCAGAATGGCAAGCAGATCGAGACATGCCCCACGTTTCTCCCGCACAAATGACACACGAAACATGCTCACAGGTACAGATGCACGCGAATAAGCGTCCCAGTTGTTATTTCGTTGTGTCTGAAAAGCGCGCCCTTTTCGGAAACGGAGGCTGTGCAACGATTGCAGTGACCTTTGTGCGCCCCGTAACTACAACACTATGATTTCATTGCAAGCCGAACCCCTGCCATGACGTATGATCCTACTTGCCGGGAGATAAGGGCACGTGAGAGATCGTCCAATCACCTCCTTTCCGTGGGTCAAAGTACAAATGAGGGATGAGAGCCACCGCGCGTGCGCATTGTGCCATCTTGCTGATAATGCTAAAAACACGATAGCTTCCCTCTGAGAGGTTCGCCAGCAGCAGTGAGTAGTAGATATAGATAGGTTGTCGTCTGAATGGTGAAGGAGGTAATACCCCTCGGTAGTTAGGTGGTTAACGCCTCGCATTCACGACGCGGAGATCCCACGTTCGATTCCGCGCGCCGGAGTCTTATTTCTGGATTTTTTTTTCTTGCGTTTTCATATATATGGATACCTATACATATACGGTGCATGACATTGATGCCGACAGCGAAATCCAGCCGAGAGTGTCCATATAATTGCTATGGCAATAACTATTATGACAATTATTGGTTTTTGTAGCATGAGGACCAAGTATGGCCATTGAGTGCCATGCAATTTTATGAGGCATTAGTGAAGACCAATGATTCACATTACAAGATGCAAAATAGCTGTGAAGAGGCCCATAACCAAGTGCTATTAGATGCATAAGAGATTATGGCATATACATTGGCCTGCAAAAAAATAAGTAACTCACTCAGACTCGCTCAAAAAATATATATCATGCTCAGACTCACCAAACTTTTTCTGGGTCAAACTCAATATGACTCACCGCTCACGTGAATTTCCTTCAACAGGACTTGCTCAGACTCAGACTCATCAAAACATTACTCACCCAGACATCTTCAAGCTCAGGGTTCTATGCAAGTCCGAGTGAGTCGACTCACGAGGTCGACTACCTATCAAGATTTTAATGAGCGAGAATTTATTAGACGCACGAATACTTCTTTAGGGCAAAATCTGGAAAATGTGTTCTTTCTTTACTGCAACTACTGCAGCCGCAGGCTCTGTTGAGGGGTTGTGCTATAGATGGCCAGAGAACATAACATTACCACTACAGTCCAACCCACTTATAATGATCCCAGGTATAACGATCTATCGAATATAACGACCATATTTCGGTGCACTTACAATTTTCCTGTGCAACCCTTTGAAAATGAGTCCACATACAGCAAACATTTTTCAATGCCTCCCAATTTCACAATGAACACTTTTCACCTGGTCGCGGTAAAAATATAGCGCATACTAAGCGAAAAAAAATGTTAAAAGAGCCATTCTGAAGTATGTGATAGGCACAGCATATGCACCGCTGAAGTTTACTTGCGCCGAAGATATCACAGAACGCGGTGAGCACGGCACGCAGATTTCAGATATCACGAGCGAGGTCGTTCACTTTCCAGAGGTTTTTTTTACAGGCAGAACGGAAGTGAGGGGGAATAAACGAAAAGAAAAATAGGAGGCAGCATGGAGAATTGCGGCCAGTTTTCGCACGACAAACGTTTCTGACGCCGTTCTTGGCATCTCCGACTGCACACAATAAACAACCAACAATGCCTTCGATCGCAAAAAGCATGCATGAAGTGATAAGTTTTGTCACGTGAAAGGCCACTGCAACGCTGAACTCTTCGACACCACAATGTGCGGTTAAAGGTTTTTTCACTTTTCGGTAATGGCAAAGACCAATCGATTAGTGATAACAACATCCGCACCATTGTGGCGATGCCTTAACGGATAAGCATAAAAAAGAGTGGTAACACGGTGGCTAGTGGCGACGAACGTGCCATTTTGAATCACTGCCAGGGAGCTTATCACAGTCATCTGCAGATAACTGCTGGGTGAAATGGCAATGGTACAAGCGCGTCATGGTGCCATTCGCAAGTTCGCCGCCGCCGCGTCCTGCGAGGCCGCTTGCACATGTTGCTCGCAAAAATGAACAGGCGACCCACTGCATGATAGCCCTATCCCGAGTGAATCATGCGCAAAGGCCACAGAAACACGTGCATACATTGGACTGCAAGCGAACTGGCATGCGATAGCAAGAGTAGCTAGAGTAAATGACAGACTGCACACAACTGGCCAGGGATGATTGGTTCGAAGTGGCAGTACCGCGATTCAATCAATCGGCGTGAGTTCATTGCGAACGGCTGTCGTTTAACATACGAAAAGACCTAACTTGTCAGCGGAGGGGTTGTTTGCCTGTTTTGATAAAGATACCCACAAAAAAAAAACGATTTGGCCACTATGTGGCCGTTTCTATGGGCGGCTCCATATACAACGAGCTACTGATATATCGACCATTTATTGCAGCACTCTCAAGCTCGTTATAAATGAGATCAACTGTGTTTTCATCTTTTAATTCCCAATGCGTGACTCATGTTTACGTTCTCAGCCTACAAATGTAGCAGGCGAAGTGTAACTGGAAAACAAAACAGCGCAAGCACAAGAAAAAGGGAGGACACAAAAAGACAAAGCTGTCTTGCAACAAAGTCTATACATCAACAACGGGCAATATATATTTGAGCAGACCTTAACGAACAAAAAAGGGAACAATTGATAAGCAATGATAAAATGATCAGCCTCATCACTGCCAGCCATGTACAGTAGACTCTCAATAAACGGAACCTGAAGAGACCGGGAAAATGTGTTCCATTTAAAAAGAGTTACGTTTACTGAGAGGTGAAGAAGTGTGTTGCAGCATTTAAGTATGAAACCAACCGTATCAAAGAAAGTTGTTCCATTTAAGCAGAAGTTCCATTCAGCAGATTTACGTTTACCAAGTCTACTGTATATTGCACATGCAACCATCTGACAAATAATAAATTTCTTAACCTGTCAAGGCAATCGACGGTCTGCTCATACATGCGCTATGAGCCCCGAGATCTAGGCGGGAGGCCTGAGTGACGTCACGGCACGGACTCTTCGATGCCAACCGTCGCGCCCTACATAACGATGCGCTTGTTTCGTGCACTGTTCCGTTGTTTGTGTTTGCTTTCTGCTCGCCTCAAGCTGCACATGAATGACGAAAACAGAATCGGTAATGTTTGTGGTAAAAGGTAAAACAAAAAATGTTTACTTTCGCTTCTGCACAACCGCTCAGTCGAAGGCAATGTGAAAGGGGTAAGAAGGTCTGTGTCCCGCTGCTTACCGCGATGATAGATTACATACCTGGCTATGACAGCCGCATTCCGACGGGTGTGAAAAGCAAGAACATACTCCTGCTCGGATGCAACAAACTCATTGGCGCATAATCAAGTGATTTTGTGTTCCAAGACACATTATTTACATTATTAGGTTGAACTCTTCATGGGTGATTCCTATAAAAAATATGACATTTTAACCTCCTCTAGGTTTGTTTGTATCGGAGCTATCCACGCACATACGGACAGTGCTCTCGCTGATGTGCCAAGCCCCGCGCTCATGTGCATTATCAAATCTCGCAAAATATATCGTATGCGCTCATCCTAGAATACCACCACCGCTGTTGTGTCTGTTTTTCTCATGTGCTTGCACAATCAACACGTTGTTCAGTTTCATGTTTCTCTCGCAAGAATTTTGAAGCATCATTTCACCCAAATTATTGAGGTTAAGTGCAGTTGAGATTATGTGCAGAAATCTCATTGGTTTCAGATTCTATCTTCGTGCAGAATAATAGCAACGATGCTGTCGCTCTCATAACTACCAGTTTAGATAGCCACCTCATGAACTGATATTATTTGCAGCTGATTACCTGTAAGAAGGCATGACGTACAAGACCAGTCGTCACCTCATCGAGGCAAAAGTTGTTTAACTATTACTTGGGCCGTGTCACTGACTGCGCCATCCATCGAAGGTGTCCTTCTCGACTTTCTGGCATTTGCGTTGGAATCGTTGCTATCTGCAGTGCTCCCACGTGAAGTGAACATTACTGTTTGTGGCGCGGCGGTAGATGACCTCAGCATTTCACACAAATCGGGGTATAGGACTACACAATCACTGGCGACTTTTTAGAATAAACATGTAGATTGTCGTCCTTTATGAAAGGAAACACGCGAACACGTGGCCTGCACTCTGCGGCGGCTGCCTACAGCAACATCAACCGACAGGAAAAGGAAACACATTTGCTTTCAACGTCATCTGTTGTCGAAAAAATAATCACGAGTTATGGCCGGTAGATAAGCGTTGCTAGATTGCACTCTCTTTCTGCTTATGCCTGCAGTGCATAGTCCACTGCCAACATATCAAATGTTATTCGTGACCACTGCACAAGATGCAGTAATCACCCGATATCGCTCGCCACGCGAGCGATCAGGGAACGTAATCTAGCAGCGCTTGTCTACTGGCCATAACTGGTTATCTTGCTTGGCCATAGATGACGCGAAAAGCGAACACGCTTCCTTCACTTGTTGGTTGATGGTGCTATAGGCAGCCGCCGCGGAGCGCCAGCCACGCGTTCGCGTGTTCTCTCTCATAAAGAACGACAATGTACGCATGATCTGAGTAAATGAACACTTTACAACAATTCAGAAATAGTCTTGTGTACGGCAGTACTATTTTGTTTATTTTCTGAATATGTGAACCTTATGCTTATGACAGTTAGGTTCGTGTGAAATCTCCTGTTGGAGAAAGTGCAATTCTGTCAAATCATTTAGATTATTCGCAGATGCAGGCGTAACTTTCCTGGTAAAGTGCAATGTATTTAATGAATTGGTAACATCCCAATTTTGTTTGTGATACTTCAGCACACACATGTTCTCATTCTGGAGTCTGTGCCTAGTTGTCTAATGACATTAACACCACTTGGCATATATTCCTATAGCCTCCATTTCTCAGTGTACGCAATGAAAATAATTTTCACAGTAAATCTTGCATTTGGACGGGAGTCTGTCTATCTTAAGCTAAATCATGAAAACTTTTTACAGCCTCAACAAGTTTCATTAGTTATGAAACCTTTCACTTTGTATTTTGAGAAATTGGCATATCGCTAAAGAGCGGGTACGTGGGGGGCGCAAAAAAAAAGGAGACAAGCGGCGGTGGCAAAGGGGAATTCTTGCCGTAATGTCACATCGCTTTGACGCCAGTGTTCGTAGACAGACCGAAAAACAGGCTCTGGCTACGAAAGAGCTATCCGAAGGTTTGATGAGTTCTTGCATAGCATAACGTTTGATGTCGAGACTAACCGCCTGCCACTTGTGTCCCTTCTGGGCAAGATGGAGCTGGATATGTTGCTGCCTCGTATTCAGAAACAATGCAGTTCCGCATGCTGCATGTGCCAGGAAGTGCACAGACTCTACCCAATACTGATTGCCTCAACACTGGGGACGAAACCCCCTCGATGAGAACAAAAATAGCAACGACGCAGTTCTGAAAGCACGAGCAGGGCCAGCGCAGTGGGCACAGACTGAGAACGGAATCACCATTTGCGACAACCACTGTGCAGAAAACCACAGTAGCTGTCGTACACTGCAAAGATGCACAGCTGACACTGCCGTAGATTATAGGCAATAAAGCTGTAAAAAGTGTTGCGGCTTTCCTGTCGTTCACTTATTGCTATGGTAGTGCAGGGCTTCGGCACTTTCAATAGTAGTTTTCAGTTGGTCTTTAATGAAGCTTTGACGTGCTTGCTTGCGGCGCTGCCTGCTCAGCACACTCATCGGATTGTCTGACTATCACACTGCCGTAGATTATAGGCAATAAAGCTGTAAAAAGTGTTGCGGCTTTCCTGTCATTCACTTATTGCTATGGTAGTGCAGGGCTTCGGCACTTTCAATAGTAGTTTTCAGTTGGCCTTTAATGAAGCTTTGACGTGCTTGCTTGCGGCGCTGCATGCTCTGCACACTCACCGGGTTGTCTGACTACCGTCTTTACTTGTGTATAGACAACCCTGCATATAAGCGGTAACCCCAACTGCAAACCGCGATATAAAGAAAACATGTACCCGCCTATTTATGCAAAGCCGCTCTGCTTTGCATTATCATGAAGGCGTGCGGTGAAGTTGACTTGCACACCGAAATTTTCGTTTAGAAATTTCCTGTATATTTTGATTGCGCTAAATGCGAGAAAATGCATTCACTCAGTGTGTGGCCAGGTGCATCTGAAATAGTGAGACTCCAGTGCATGCACTTACTGGAACCAAAAGACGAGTCAGTCATCAGATCTTGCCAAATGATACGATTCATAGATGAAATTTCCCTACGACGAAATTCTGCGGCAACTAATTTTTTCGCGTGTCACGTCAATTTCGTTGAGGCAGAACTGGACTGTACAGCTATCTCATCATCAATACATCCCTCACACGATATTTTCCGAAACATGAAGGTAGATAAGGAAAGATATCCAGAACTCACAATCCAGGTCTGAAGGGCAGGTTGCTTTGCAGTGGCATGTGGTTCTGCATTGTGCTGTCTGCAATAAAAAAAAGCAAAAAATTAAGGAAATCACATATTAAGACTGAAAATTATACCTGATTTAAGAGCTGATGAATTATTTGTCAAGTACTTTGTACTTCAATTTGGGCTTCAAAGAAGCACAGCCACTATTTAATGACACCGAACTCCCACCACTCAGTTGACATATTCGTCAACTGAATGATCCTCAAGTTGCAGGAATTGCAGAATGATCCTCAAGTTGCAAAAATTGCAAAAGAGCTGCGAATACCTGCAAGAGGTGCCAGCATCCTACGAAAATGTAGCTTCATGGTCTGCACTGTCTGCGGAAACCAGACAGGAAAGCCGGAAAGCTTCATGTCTGTTTGCATTTCCGCAGCTTATGACACCGCATTGGTCGTGTATCTTTAAACCTGCATGCTTGCTATCCATTACTAGTGACCTAGTGTTCATCCATAGTGAATGAGTCGCATCAGTAGCTTCAGTTTGAAATGACGTGCACAGGTCGTGCAAGTGCCCTCAGAATTGCATGGGCACTACCTGCGATCACCTATCTATAGCAGAAACATGAATCTTAAAGGGGAGCGAAAATAGGCGTACAGTTGAACCCCTTTATAAGAGACATGCACCGGGGAGCAGTTCTCAACTATTTTATGAGGTGTCTTTTATAGGCAAGATACCACGTATGCATTTTCTTGAAAACCCCTATTTCAATGTAGGCACACTGGTGCCCCTTGTTATACCCATTTGTCTCTTAAATCAGCGTCTCTTATAAGGGGTATGATTATCGTAAAGAATCTAGCAGAATCCGTTTTCAAACCCCAATATATGTATGAAACATTTATTGCCGTCAAGATTATTGGCGTATGTCTTTCTTGGGCACAAGTGAGCAGATCGAAAATAGACGACGCAGTTGGCTGCCGCAAACGCACGCAAAAGCTTTGCACGAGGCCTACAGAAAGTCAAGTTTCAATGTTTGTGCCACGATAAGTGAACAGCGCCACGAATGTTGAAGCACTTTAAGCCGTTTTACAACTTCACTACCTTTAATCTACTGCTGCGTTAGCAACAGACCTATGAAACTGAATGGTTTTTTGTTTTTTTCCGGCTTTCAGTTTTAAAAAAACCCAGTCTTTTTTTTTTTTTTACACCGAGACAAGGCTGGCATATGCAATCCAACCACATACGAACAATGCTACCATGTTTACGCATTTACTTTATGCATGCATTTTCCTGAGCCTCTTAAGAGGAGATATTGGTCTTAAAAAAATTACAGCATATCCCCGGAGTGAATGATGATGAGTGGGGTGAAGCGTCCGACATCCCGTTAGTCCGTTCGTTCTTGCTTATGTCGGTCCGTGCATCCATCCATGCATCAGTCCGTCTGTCCGTGCGTCCGTCCGTAAGTTCGTCTATCCGTCTGCCCATCCGTTTGTGCATCCATCCGTCCCTCTATCTTTACATCCGTCTTCTAGTCTGTCTGTCCATCCATTCGTGCGTTCATCTAGTGAACGCTTCAAGAACTGCCATCTCGCATCCCTTATGGCACAAACTTGCTCCACGCGTCAGTCCATCCGTCTGCTATTCTGTTTGACCGTTCGTCCATACGTTTGTCCGTGCGTCTATCTAGTAAACCCTCCAAGTACCGACATCTCCCATCTCGCATCCCCTGTGGCACAACTGGTGGCTACATACGACAACGAAATATGGACAGACCCACGCCTTAAGGAGCTTTGTCCCTAGCATGAAATTTTTATTATTATATATATTTGGGTGAAATTAGGTGTGTATATGTTTTTTTCTCCTGTTTTCAGATATGCAGTTTTATTGTACTTCTATTAGTTCTCAGATTGTAAAAAAATAAGTGAAGTCTAATTAGGTCATTTTTTACGGGTGATCAAGGCACTTTCCCTCAATATTTTCTGGCTCACTTAAAGATACACCTGTAGCCAAAGATGCGCCATGTGGAGCTACGCTATCTATATTTATGTTGATATCCATCATCATATGAAAATTCACTCACATTATTATTCACAAAACCTCATATGTTCAATTTATCAGATCCCCCTCGACGCGTGCGTACGATTGCTGTTGACCTAATAAGTTGTATCGGGTGTTACTGTGAATGCATTGCGGCCATTATCAAAACGTGTTTAATATGCTGTGGTGATATCGAGGAAAACCCTGAACCTACCTCTCTCAGCTGAGCAGGAACAGAAAATGTTTGAGGCGTATGTACATTGGCCAGACCGGCCGATGTGTGAACGTGCGTCTCAGGGAACACAGAAGCTCGTTGAAAAATACACCTTACTCCCATTTAGCGTCACATTGCGTTTCGTGCAAGTGCCAACCTCTGTTTGAGAATACAATTGTTCTGTTCCGGCATCCTCATCAAACTACGCGCGAAATTTCTGAAGCCTATCACATTTCCAGGAATGCGGACCAATGTATAAGTCATCCTTCCTTCTCACTACTTGACTGTGAATTCAGCTACCTAGATAACCCTTAGACATGTGCCTTGATTACACGCTTCGCATGCTGCCCTTGAGTTCGTCATATTCTTTTTTGACATGCGCATTTTGTGTTTATATATGTCCTTCCGATGTGGAAAATAAATCAGTTGATAGTTGAGCGCTCGTGTTGTGTGGTTCCTCGCTTCGTCCTTTGTGTTTTCTCTGCGCTCCCAGTTCGCTGATCGAAGAAAATGAATTACCAACTGGCCCACTTTTTGATCCTTTTGCAATGAGGCTATCATGCAGATACCGTCATTGATTCTGATGTATCCGTGACGTCACGCCAGCCGAAGCCGCCGTTATCACCACTGCTTCTTCTCCTTCCCTTCCCCTTAACCCCTCTCGCACAACGCTACATTAACCCGCGCTATCGCAATAAAGCTTTTGTCTTGGCCCAGCCACGGCCCTGGCGTGTTCGTTTCAGTGGCGACGAGGATGGGATAAAAGCGGTGCGGCAACTCCGTCCGTCATGACCGCCGCACCCACGGGAGGATACGCCAGCCCGCCGCAGTTCGACGAGGCGAGCGACAAGTGGCCCGCGTACCAGGTTCGGCTGGAAGCCTTCTTTGAGGGAAATGGCATCACGGAAGACAACAAGAAGCGGGCCCTGCTGGTGACTGCACTGTCCACCCACACCGTCGACGTACTGAGCGGACGTTGTGCTCCGGATAAGGTGAATGAACTTTCGTACCCACAAGTGATAGCCTTGCTTAAGCAGCACTTCTCGCCGCAACCGAACGAGATAGCACAGTCTTATAAGTTCTTCACCCGCAATCAGCTGCCCGGCGAACCGGTCAAGGATTTTGTCGTGGCGATTCGACAGATAGCGGACACCTGCAATTTTGGTGCTTCGTTGGACAGAATGCTACGAGATCGCATCGTGTGTGGTCTGCACAACGTCGGAGTGCGTCGGCAGCTACTCGCGAAACCACAGCTGACGAGGAGCGAAGCGGAAGAAATTGCGATATCTACCGAAATGGCCGAGGCCAACGCGCAAGAGATAGTAAGCCCCACCGCTGAGGCAAGTGTGCATGCGCTGGGAGGCCAGTCCTATCGCCCACGAAGCCGGCCACAGATTGTTGGGTGCTACCGCTGCGGAGCAAAAGGGCACGGACCCGAGGATTGCCGCTTCCGCTCGGCGTCATGCTTCAAGTGTAAACAACGAGGTCATATCGCTCGAGCCTGTTGCCGCCGTGAGAGTGGGTTCGGGGTGGTACCACCAGAACGCCAAGTACACGCCTTGTCGCGGGAGGAAGACACTGGCACGGACGGTATGTTCGCGCTGGAGGCAGCGGACAGTCACATCGGCCACGTCGGCATTACGCAACCCATCGTGCGCACCTTGGATTGTGGTGGGGTTCCAGTGAACATGCAGGTCGACACAGGCTCGCCGGTTTCGGTCATCACGTGGCCCACATATGAGCGGAACAAAACAGTGTGGCCGAAGCTGCGTGGTTCGCCATTGAAACTCACCTGCTTCCTGGGACGGCTTCCAATGCGGGGACAACTTCAGCTCAAGGTTTCGTGCGGAAACAAGTCGATGGCTGGATCTTTGCAAGTCCTTGGTTGCTCCGGCCCAAACCTCTGCGGACGCGACCTGATTCAAGCGTTCCACATGCTCGAGGCACCGGTAATGAACGTGAACACGTCAGGTGAGCAACTGCCGTTACTCGGTGCTGACGACGTTAACGTGGACCGGTTGCTAGCAGAATTCGCTGATGTGTTCGCGCCAGGTTTAGGGCTCATAAAAGGGCCACCGGTACACTTCGAGACGCGAGAAAACGTGGTGCCGAAGTTTTGGAAAGCACGCGAAGTTCCGTATGCTTTTCGGCCAAAGGTCGACGCGGAACTGGACCGCCTTTCGGGCGCGGGTATTATTGTACCGGTGCCTCATGCGGAGTGGGCGGCGCCAGTGGTACCGGTAGTGAAACGGAATGGCTGCATCCGCCTTTGCGGCGATTTTAAGCTAACGGTCAACAAAGCCTGTCGCACTGAGCAATATCCGTTGCCACGGGTGGAGGATATCCTGGCTACATTAAATGGCGGTGAAGTTTTTACCACGATAGACTTGCGGGAGGCATACAACCAGCTTCCGTTGGATGAGGAAGCCATGCACCTCACGACTATAAACACGCATAAGGGACTGTTCAGCTTTACTCGCCTGCCTTTTGGAGTGGCGTCCGCGCCGGCCGTGTTCCAACGGCGTATGGAGACCATTTTGCAGGGACTTCCGGGTGTTCAGGTCTACCTAGACGACGTCATCGTGGCAGAGAAACGCAATGACTGCACCACCCTGCACGATGTATTCAAGCGTTTCCGGGAATACGGCGTGCGCCTGAACGCAGACAAGTGCAAGTTCCGCCAACTAGAGGTGGATTTTTTGGGGCATCGAATCAGCGCTCGAGGTCTTCAACCAAAGACGGAAAACATAGACGCCATCCTTAAGGTTCAGGCACCACGGAATTCCGCAGAATTAAGGTCCTACCTCGGCATGGTAACGTACTACCACAAGTTTCTTCCCAATGCATCGACCGCCATGGCACCCCTATATCAACTACTCCGGAAGGAAGCTAAGTGGAAGTGGGATACCGCTCAACAGCAGTCATTCAGCAGTGTGAAAGACCTTCTGAAATCCGCAGACTTTCTGGCGCATTTTGACCCACACAAGCCGCTAGTCCTGGAATGCGATGCCTCCCCGGACGGAATAGGCGCAGTGCTTTCACACGATGTCGGGGGCGGAGTACTTCGGCCCATAGGGTTCCGCTCTCGGTTATTGACTGGAGCTGAGAAAAATTACTCGCAGCTGGAGCGTGAAGCCTTGGCACTTGTGTTTGGTGCGTCGAAATTCCGACAATACTTGCTCGGCAATACTTTCACATTGATGACGGACCATAAGCCGCTTGTTGCACTTTTTCACCCAGACAGGCCAGTGCCCGTGATGGCCGCTGCGCGAATCCAGCGGTGGGCCCTGCTGCTGAGCGCCTACGATTACGTCATCAAACACCAGCCCGGGAAAGACAACATTCCAGCCGATGCCCTCAGCCGACTCCCCACGTCAGCAACTTCCCAGCCAGAGACGCAGGAAGAAACTGTGGACGGTGAGTATGTCCTGCTCACGGAGACCCTCAATGATGGTGTCATGTCTGCGAAGCAACTGGGCACTCTCACGGAGCTTGATGACGATTTAGCAAAGGTGCAAAAATGGGTGCAGGAGGGATGGCCAAGAAATTTGGGGCCTAAGGACCAGCACTTGATGCCATACTTCAACCGGAAAGCTGAGATAACGGGGAGTTATGGGCTTCTATACTGGGGCCATCGAGTGATCGTCCCTAAGAGTGCCCGAGCAGTGATGTTACGTCTGCTGCATGATACTCATCAAGGGATTTGCTCAATGAAGCGGCTAGGGCGCTCCTTGATGTGGTACCCCCGGATCGATAATGACATTGAGCACATGGTTAAGTCCTGCACCAGTTGCATCCAAGCTGCCCCTATGCCCCCAAAGAAACCCCCTGTTGCGTGGCCAGAAACGGATGAGCGTTGGTCGAGGCTGCATATCGATTTTGCGGGGCCGATCGATGGTCACATGCTACTGATTGTGGTGGATTCACATAGTAAGTGGATAGAAGCGATACCCATGAAGAGTTCCACCACACACGCCACCATAGAGGCTCTGCGCACCTTGTTCAGTACATTCGGGTTGCCCCGGACGCTGGTATCCGATAATGGCCCACAGTTTACGAGTTGGGAATTTAACACCTTCACGAAGCTGAATAACATAGTACACCTCCGAACAGCACCGTATCACCCCCAGTCCAATGGGCTCGCGGAGCGGGCGGTTCGTACGGTGAAGTATTCATTGAAGAAGAACGTACAAGGGTCACTGAAAACCCGCCTGGCTAGGATTTTGCACAGGTACCGCAGGACGCCGCAGGCCGGGGGCCGGACACCAGCGCAACTCCTAATGGGCTACGATCTTCGCTCCAGGCTGGACAACGCAGTGTCCATTCCGCCCTCACCAGTTGACCGTCCCCCCCTCGATGGGTGGCAGCCCGGGGAGCCAGTCTGGGTGAGGAACTTCGGGCGAGGCGAGCCGTGGACTCCAGCCAGCATTACATCGACAGACGGAGCCCGCCTGGTGAATGCCGATGGTCCGGAGGGGGAAACCATTAGGCGCCACAGCGACCAGGTGAAGCCACGGGAGTTGGAGCATGACCAGGGAGAAGTCGGTGACTCTCGGTGCCTCGAAACTGCCGGCGGGGCCCTAGCAGGAGGAACACCGAGGCGAGCGCCAACAAGGAGCGAGATCGCCGGGAGCCCCTCAACTCCGGTGTTGCGTCGCTCGGGCCGGCAACGCAAACCCCCAGACCGTTACTCACCGTAGGGGGAGCGGAATGATGTATCCGTGACGTCAGGCCAGCCGAAGCCGCCGTTATCACCACTGCTTCTTCTCCTTCCCTTCCCCTTAACCCCTCTCGCACAACGCTACATTAACCCGCGCTATCGCAATAAAGCTTTTGTCTTGGCCCAGCCACGGCCCTGGCGTGTTCGTTTCAGATTCATACGCAGACAGACATTCTTAACGAAATTCGTTCGCTTCGGTCCGACCAGCAGGCGATTGAATCAAAAGTAACGGAACTGGCTGCCAAGGTGGAACGCGCAGAAACGTGCGCCTCGTCTGTACCGCCCTTAAAAGCGGCAATTGAAAATATGTCCACACGTGTTGAAACAACCATTTCATCACTGGCGGCATTGCACGATGGCCAAGATGATTTAGATAATCGATCGCCCCGTACCAACTTGATAATTTATGGCCTTCTGGACACTGAATGAATCTTGGGCAGAATCCGAAGAAAAAAATATTTTCTTTTTTTCTGATAAACTAGATATCTCAGTCAGTCCAACATCCATTGAAAGAGCGCACCGATTGGGGAGGTACCAAGTATTTGATTGATTTGTGGAGTTTAACGTCCCAAAACCACTATTTGATTATGAGAGGCGCCGTAGTGGAAGGCTCCGGAAATTTTGACCACCTGGGGTTTTTTAACGTGCACCCAAATCTGAGTACACGGGCCTACCACACAGGTACCAAGTAGAATCAACACGGCTGCTGATTATCAAATTCTTGTCATTCAAAGATAAACAACGAGTGCTTGCGGCTGCTTCAAAGCTGAGGGAAACAAATTTTTCTATCAGCCAAGATTATCCGAAAAATGTCAGGATTGCTCGAAAGAAATTGGCTCAGTTTGCCCGTGACCACGGTGGTTCTTTTAAACTGAATTTCAATAAGCTAATTATGGGAGATGAAGTGTTTTTGTTTGACAGTAAGAGTGATTCTGTAATTCGGGCGGGCCAATAGCCATCACGAAATGCTCCCGAAAAGCGACTGTGCCAAGTGAACAACCTGAAGATTATTATTATAAACTGTCGCAGTATTAAAAACAAAAAGACCAGTTTGCTTCGCTGTTAGATCTGGTTACCCCTGAAGTAGTGATTGGTACTGAATCTTGGTAGGACAGCACTATAACTTACAACGAGATATTCCCATCAAATTACACAGTGTGCCGCAAGGACCGTAACTCACGTGGCGATGGTATTTTCGTCATGGTTAACAGTAGTCTGAATTTTAGTCGTATTGAGGTTGAAAGTGCGTCATGTGAGACAGCCTGGTGCAAGGTCACCCTAGCTAATGGCACTTCCATAGCATTTGGGTCGTTTTACAGACCACCTGCTTCATATACTACTCAATGTATATTCGACTTAAATAACATGCTACTGTCCTTAGATGCAACGTATACCGTTCTTGGAGGAGATCTTAACTTGGCAAATATTGACTGGCTCTGTCACCAGCCGAAAATAACCACTTCGTTACCTATTTACTCTGCATTTCGTGAAATAATTAATGCACATACCCTGTTCCAATTTGTACAAACTCCCACGAGAATAGCCCCAAATAGTGCAAATTTGCTAGACTTGTTGTTTTGTTCTCAACGCACTCTGATTAGTTCTGTTCATTTATTTCTCGGCATAAGCGACCATAAAATTGTTCTTGCACACCTATCTTGTGTTTTAAAGCATTGCCATGTTCCTCCTTCGAGACAGGTGTTCCAATATGATAGAGCCGATTATGCCTCACTATCACAGGAGCTTGAAGAATTCCTGCCTTTTTTTAAACAGCACATTTCTGCTCTTGCAATAGAATCTGCATGGAACCTATTGAAAACCAAACTTTTATCGTTCATGAAGTCATTCATTCCGTCTCGAGTAGTCAAATCTAAGTGTCAGGCAGATAAACCATGGATTAGTAGAAATATTCGCGCATTGATAAATAAACGACATTGCCTGTATCGCAGGTACTGAATAATCGCCGAATCCAGACCTTTTCAGCAAGATGAAGGAACTTGGTAAAAATATATCAAAAGAAATGCGCAAGGCAGAAAGCGCGTATCTAGATGCAATGGGCGAAAAATTAAAAGTTAACCTAAAAGAAGTCTGGAAGTACGTCAGAACCAAGCAAACGGCGAAGGATCTTATTCCAGATATCATAGATGGCAATAATTATGCCGGTGGCCTTAAAGGAAAGGCTTAAAAGTTCAGTAACTACTTCGAATCTGTATTCGTACAGCCGATCCCCCAGGCCAGTGGCCTGAAAACTGTTTTGAACTTACCACAAATGAGTGATATATCCTTTTGCGAGCAGGGAATAATAACCCTACTACGAAAAGTCAATGTGAAGTCAGCCCCCGGACCCGATCACATTTCGAATTATGTAATAAAGAATTGTGCTGCATCGTTTGCCCCTTTTCTAATGATTCTCTATCAAAAGTCATTTGATTCCGGTGCTTTACCGCGCGACTGGAAAACTGCAAATGTAATTCCTATATTCAAAAGGGGCAATAACACACAGAGTCGAAACTACAAACATATTTCACTAACTAGTGTTTCATGCAAGGTACTAGAGTTTGGGTTTGAGTTTATTCAACCACGTGACAAGCACACGAAAATACACTGTATACGTGGTTTGTTGCGAAAAAAAAATGCTGCATTTCACAGCTTGACTGGTCCCTTCACCCAGAAAAAAATCTAAACTACAATTTTATAAAAATTACAAAATTTATAGGCAGCGGAAAGCGACAATACAAAAAAGAAACACGCATGTGGCCCATGACAGCAAATAATAGAATGACAACTCTAATATACATACAAAAATATTCATAACAAAGCAATGCATGAAAGAATAAAAATTGAATAACCATTACAGAAATTACCCAACATTCATTTACAACACAATCAGCACATCCGATTTAAAATTTCAGTTTTAGACAATATACGCAGATTATCAGTTGTTAGTTTCCATTTGTTCATCACACTTGGAAGGCGGTAACGTAGTGTTCCAAGTCCATAGTTTGTGCGAGGACAAGGTACGTGCCAAGTCTCCATACACCGAGTAACGCGACTGGCAGGATTCGGTTGCAAGGTGGCCAAGGTGCGTAAAAAGATACTTCCTCTGCATATTTCTGATTTAAAAGCTGACAGAAGCTGGTATTCGTAATAACAGGTAAGTCTTAAAATTCTATATTTTGCAAATATTGAAGCAGTGTGTGCATTATAGCATACACCTTCAATGCACCGCAGGGCATTTTTTTGTAACACGACCAGGTTCTTTAGAGATGCTTTAGAGCCTGTAGATCAGACCAGATGACAGTAGTGTTAATGTGAAGAAAAAAGAGCATTGTACACTAATATTTTTTGTTTCACAGGTAGTATGTTCTGGCATCGACGCAACACACCTAAAACTTTACAAAGTTTGTGACTAATGTGTTCGGCAGGGTAATTCCATGCCATGTGTTCGTGAAAATGGACACCGAGAGTTTTAACTGTTTGAGAAAGTTAAATTTCAACGTTATTAAGTATTAGTTTGTGAGACATTTCAAATGACCTGGCTTTCGCACGGAACAGTACAGCCTTGCTTTTAGAGCAATTAATGTGTAGAGAATTTGCCACAGTCCAGGCATATATTTTATTTAGTATTTCATAAGCAGAAACAATGAGGTCATCAGCCGTTTTCCCAGAAAAAAATATACTAGTATCGTCCACGTAGATTACATATTCTACAGAGCTGTCAATACGTACAATACCGTTGATAAAAATATTAAATAATAGGGGTCCCAAAATGCTACCTTGAGGTACACCATTCTTAACTTTCATGGATAATGATAGCTCTCGATTGATTGATACACATTGTTTCCGATTAGATAAGTAGCTTCTTATTAAAGCTAAAACGGTACCGCGAACTCCATAACAGTCAAGTTTTTCTAGCATAATATCATGGTTTATTCTATCGAAAGCTTTCGAGAAATCTAGAAATATTCCTAGGGTAAGTTTTTTTTGCTTCTATATTTCATAGAATCAATTCCTTTTGGTATAGTAAGGCACTTTCGGTTGAGAGGCCTGACTGAAAACCGAACTGTGACGGCATAATAATGTTGTGTTTATTAAAGAAATTAGATAACCGAATGAAAATAAGTTTTTCACGCCCCTTAGAAAAAACTGGTAAAATCGAAATTGGTCTCCTAAGTTTCCTAAATTGCCTTTGTCCCCACCCTTATATTTAACTGTTACGTTAGCGTTCTTCATTCTCTGAGGAAACAGCCCAGTGGTGAACACGAGATTATAAATATGTACTAAGCAGGTGCATATGAAATATAAAATGTATATTATAGGTTCTAATTTTAAGCCATCTGTCCTCGCTTTTACTCAATTTGAAATGCTGGAAAATGCTGATGACCTCTTGCGCGTCTGTAGGATTAGCAAACACAAAATTATTTAAAGCAGGAGGCAAATAACCTGATGAATCACAATTATGACTACTGTCAACTAGTGAGGTAAAGTACTTGTTAAATTTGTTTGCCAGTACTGCGCCCTTGTACATTTTATTTTCGATCACCAGCTCACTAATATCATTAGACACTTGTTTGGTAGATATAATAGCATTAAGTTTGTTCCATAATTGCTTAGAATTGGTGACACCGTCAAACATCTTGAAGCGATAATCGCGTTTAGCTTGTTTTTGTAGTTTAGTGAGTTTATTTCTCTATACCTTAAAAACTTGAAATTTATCCGAGTCACGCTTTATCAGAAACTCTTGATACAACCTATTTTTTTTCTTTTATCATATTGAGTATTGCGGAAGAAATCCATGGTTTGCGGACCCGTTTTGTTCTCTTTAAAGCTTTGTAAGTAAAATGTTTTTTATACAAAGAACATAGAGTATCAATAAAACAATCATAAGCAAGATCAGGAGAAGAACTAGATAGAACGTTGTCCCAATTTAGAGTTTTAATTTCATCTCTAAAAGAAGATAGCGTTCGCGGATTAATTTGTTGAAAGTGAACGGCAGGAAGGATTTGACTCCTTACACTGGCGATGTTTTCTATGACTAGATATATGGGCAAATGATCACTTATAGGGGCACGCAGGACGCCTGCCTGTAACGTACTGTTTGTACTACTTGTGATAAACAAGTCTAATAGAGT